TTGTGCAGAGGACCCAGGGCCAGGAAGGATGCACCTTAACACACACAATGTCACCCACCCATGTCACGAGTTTTGCCTGTCAGAAGCCAGAGGTGCAGGGCCCTGGAAGCCCCTGCACCTATTCCTTGAAAGCTGGCAAGCTTTGTTGTTGCAGCAGGCCTGCAATTTTCACCCCCCTGTGCCCTAACACAGACAGTTGCACAAACACCCACATCACAAGTGTTGTCTGTCAGCAGCCTGAGGTGCAGGGCCCCAGAACCTAGAACCCCCTGTACCTTTCTCTTTGAAACTTGGCAGTCTTTGTGGCCTCAGCAGGGGCTACCATTCCTGCAGTTTTCACTCCGCTGTGGCTTAACACACGCGTGACACAAGTTTTGCCTGTCAGTAGCCAGAGGTGCAGCTTCCTAGAAACTCCTGTACCTATCTCCTTGAAACTTGGCAGCCGTCATGGCTTCAGAAGGGGCTACTATTCCAAGCTTCATCCAAAGCAGGCAGGAAATGACAAAGTTATAGGCTGTTTTGTGCTTCCCCATTATAACCTATGGGTGAAACGTCGAAACAGCGAAACTGTTAAAATAAAATGGAACAGCAGTTTCGAATCTAAGCGAAATTCGAAATGAAACACTGTTCCATTGAAATGTTGAAATGCAAGTCAAAATGGAACGGTGCCATTTCACACAGCTGTACAAATTAGGCATTTTCAATTGCAGTGTTAGTATAATGCAAACTTTCAGAAATTACTTATATTTGACATGCTTAAGTCATATCAGACTGCTAATGTATGCACATAAAAGCATTTGGTTACTGCATGGTACAACAGGAGGAATGTCTAATAAAAATGAAATATTTTAAATAAGTAATCCCAAATAATTAGCAGTGAGATGGTCTTAAATATTTGAGTCATGGATGGAAAACATTTACATAATCATAGCATTATCAGTAAGTTTAAAAGTCAATTCATGGCTGACTCTTTCCTTTAATAGTGTAGAATTTCTCTTTGAGAATGCTAACTTAGGGATCTACTTTTAATTTTAAGCAGTCTTCCTTGTATTTTGTTATATGATCCCTTGTCATGGTTGAAAATGTAGAATCTAAATATAGTAAAGGAAGTTGGATCCCTCCTTGGATAAGGGGATAGATCAGACCAGAAACAAGTATTAAACAAACTAGAGTACATCTCCTGATTCTCCTGGGAGGGGATCTAGAATCTGGAGAGACTGGAAGGAACTTGGGTGTAGCATTACCAGCAACTGTAAAGCAGAAGGATCCATGGTCTCCACTGTCCCCCAGAGAGATGCAGTAAATGAGATGCCTTTCAATATTTGGTGAATGCAGTGTTCAAAACAGCCAGTCCCACTTTTTAGCCAAACAGGACCTGGCTGCGCTAGATATTTGCCTTCAGTGGGAAATGGAAAAGGTAGAGATTTTTATTTTGTCTCTTTCCTGAAATTTGACACATGACCAAAAAAAAGTCATAAAATGATTTATTTTTTTTAATGTAGAAAATAAACCTTTTATCTTGCTTTAGATTACTCCCAAAGCAGTACAGCTCAAGAATTCTAGCCAGCCTGACTACACAGGACCCATTGTTCTTTTTTTATTCTCTAGTCATTGGTGCTTTCAAAGCTACAGCACTGGGATTTTGGAGGCAGGCCTGAAAAATTGCACAAAAACCTGTGGTTAGGCAGGTGTGCTGCTTTATTATGTCTGCATCCAGGAAGGTTAGCCACATAGCATACAGGGTGTAAAATATCAGGTAAAATATTTATTCTTATTTGCTGGGGGATTTTCTGTTTTATTTGTTGCCCTGAGGGAGCGTAGGCATACCTAGCCACTTCCATTTCAGTATGACATGTGCTGTTGGTCTTTGCTTCAATTTTCTAGGTTTTTTTAGAGTAACAAATGTTAAATATTTTTGGATCCAAGTTTATTAAAAAGCTGATGGATATCAGCCCTCAGTCTACAGAGACTGAAATACAGAAAAAGGTTGGGAGTATGCCCTTTCCACATCCTCAATGACATAGTATCCCTATAATGAACAAAATGCCTTAGACAGCTCTACAGCTATACAAAAAATATGCTGAATATTGCATCTGAAATTGGGCAGGTGGACAGTGCAATATTTGGCAATAGCAATCGGCACTCTCAATACTTGAGTTTATTATGCAGTTTATAATACCTCATACCTGCTATAACTGCTTCTTAGCTTATTCAGCATTATATATATTTTAATGAAAAGAATAGTCTCTTCATTCTTGTTTTATGGAGATCTTGTAGTCGCATGTTATTTTTTATCCTTTGACCGTTTTTTCCTCCTCCTTCCTTTCAGATGCAGAGTTTGCAAGGTGGTACAGAAGCTATAGCCCATTTGGATCATTTAGAAGCTGATTATTATGACCTTCAGCTTCAGTTGTATGAAGTGCAGTTTGAGATCTTGAAGTGTGAGGAGTTATTACTGACAGCACAACTTGAAAGCATCAAAAGACTGATGTCAGGTGAAGTATGCATTTAATGTACATAATTTGTATTGTTTAGTATGGTAAGGTTTATTACTTTTACTGTAAAACCTATGGGAGTTAATACTTCATAGTATTATTTACCTAGATAGCTATTCTTAAATTAATTAAAACTTGCATCATAATAAGCCATAAGCTTCTGGGTTGGTAGAAATTGCTCTGATGCTCATTGAGCTTAACTAGAATTTTGTATCTAAGAGCCTATGCAATGCCTGAAAAAAATGGGTGCTAGGAAGGAAGGGAATTGTTTTCTAAACGATGCAGGTTTGTTGCATTTACAAGAGTTGCTGCATTGGGAAGTTTTGAAATGATTTGAGTTTTGTGAAGTATTTGGTTTCACACAAATTAGAATCCTTTATCTGTGCTTATCCCATGAAGGTGGTGGTAGAAAGAAATTCACATACTTTTATTACATTCTGACCTGATCTTCTGAATTCTCCCGTGCTTGGATGTTAATGCTGCAGTATGGCACAATGGTAAAGGACTTGTAAAGGAACTTATTTGTTAGAAAAATCATTCCAGAAAAGAAGTTTTTCAAACTTGTGTTGATATTGTGAATTACAGCTGAACAGTGAGAGCATCTCAGAGCTCCTTCTCTCTCATTAATAATTGTGTAGACTTCCTTGTGATCCCTTCTCATGTTTGTGATCCCACGGCAACTGCAGTAATAGCAGAGAGAAGTTCAGAGGAAAAACTAATGCATTTTAATGACCTTTTTAAACAAAATTTAGCAGCCTAACCAGTACATTCTCTATGGGCCACCAGTAAGTAGCTAATAATAGACAATTTGCTTACAGTTTGGGAGCTTCTATTGTAGGATAGAAATGTGGTTTTGACCCTGACATCATTGTACAATGTATTTTCATATGGTTAGAAAGGAATCCATTGAACTGGAAAGATGGATGAGGGAAAAGAGAAGGGACTAAGAACAAAATCAGTTTTCTTTTGAAGTCCAAAATTAGCTGAAAGACCTTTTAAATTATCTTTTGAATGCTGTATACCTAAAAGCCAGCAGAAAATTATTAAAAGAGCTCCAGATTTTTAATATAGTTTTTAAAAGAGCTTACTATACCTGCAGAGGCTAACTATATCTCTAATAAGAAATTTGGAAGGTCATCAACATAAAACATGATAGTTAGCTGTTAATTTAATGTTTTGCTGTCAAGTCTAAATGTTATAGACCTAAACAAAATGGGAGTTATTTTTAATTGGCATATTTAATGTTCCAGTTGCTGGATGCCAGGGGGGCAGGTAAGAAAAGTGCAGCTCTGGGGCTGGAGCCAGCAGCTGGGCTTTCCCAGCCCTGGGGTTGCATTGGGATCTGTATAGAAGTTCAGTTAGATTGATCTCGTCAGACACAAGCTAAATTAGACTCCCTCAGTGGTGTACTTAATTTAGATCAGGTTCGCCATTTTTAAACCAACCTAATTGCCTTGAATTTCCGTGCTGTTCGCACATAGATGCGCCTAACTAGTTTAAGGTCCACTCCTAGGTATATCAAATAAGATCAGGTGGCCATTTTTAATTTGATCTAACCTCCCCCTAACCTCCTTGAACGTCTGTATGCAGCCTATGTGATCCAATGACATGACTGTTTAAAGTCTAGCTAAAACATGTCAGTGACTTTGAGTATTAGGTTAAATGAGCAGGCTTGGGTTTTAATTTTTAAAAATGTTTTGGTTTTATGCTTATAAGACTCCATTTTTGCTTTTCTGCTAGAATTCCTGTGTTTTTCTGAGTTAAAATTTTGTTAGCAGGCAATGTAGGCAGAAATCATTAAGTAGCATCTGCTTTTAAATTGGGCAGCCTTTGGAGATGAAGGAAGCCCTTCCTCAAAAGAATCTGATAGTTGGAGAAAGGAAGGAGTTAGTTATGTATGGAACAGGAGTGCAGCCTTTCTGAGAGAGAACTGACTGTAAGAGAGAAAAGGGAGTGCTTCTGCTCTTTCCTATTCCTGATGGCTTCCTTGGATCTGCCTGCCTCTCGAGACATGAAGAGATGAGAAGCCTTGTGTCGTTTCCTCATGTATCAGGGGTGTACATGGTAGCCATGTTGGTCCGAGACAAAAAGACATGGCCATTTTCCAGTTGATCTAATAAGGTATAATTTTGGAACCAAGAGTTCTAGATTTTTGTTTTTTCCTCATGTAGGCACTCACAGCAATGGATTAGTTGCTGTATTAGGGCGTTTTATAGATGTGCTTGGGGGGGGGCACTTTTAATTAGAGCGGCTCTGAGAGCAGCTCTAACTAAAGTGCCCAGAGCATTGCGTGTATCAGTGTCCTCACTCTGAAAAACGGTGGCAGGAGCTCTTTAACTAAAGTTTGTTGAATGAGCTTTATTTAAAGTGCCCCGCTGCCATTTTTCAGTGCAGGGATGCTGATACACGTGACATGGTAATTGCTGCGCTCCAGTCAAGTCTGCTCCAATGCTCTGTAATTACAGTGCATTGGAGCAGCCTCGCTGCATGTATATAGGTGCTCTTTGTTTCTGTCTTGTTGAGTTTAGTTGGCAAATATTAAGACATGAGCTTAGTTCCATAATGAGTGTATTAGTGCGCCACTCATGCAAGATGGGTGATAACATAAAAATATAAACTAAAAAAATAGATGCCTACAAAACTATTGGGAATGACCTCCTTCTCTGGAGTGTGGCACCTTCAGAGACAGCCAGCTGAGGCACTCCCTACATCTGCCCCCAGTGTGCAGAAGCACTGACTTTGGTCAAAAGCCTTTTGATGGGAAATTTTAGGAAATCGTGTGTTGCATATCTTCCTGTTCATGAAGTCAGTGTGAAATGGTTGCAAAAAAAAAAAGCCTCAAAACATTCCTTAGAAAGAGCTCATGTGTGTTGAACTTCAGAATGGAAATCGGATGGAATGGCTGCATACGTGCTTCCCTTCTATTCATTTGCAAACTTGAACACATTGAGGTGTGTGGTGTTGGGGATACAGAGTGTTTCAGTAACAAGTGTATATTTATAGTCGCATTTTTTAAAAAGTTGTGTGAACCTTTGAGAATAATGGGAGCCTTCATTGGTGTGCTCCCTCCCCCCAGCCAAACTTTTGGAGCCTTACACAGCTGTGCCCCTTTGTTGTCTTGGCATTTGCCTTTTTTTTTCTTTTCCTGTGATATGTGTATACTGTATTTTACATTAAATCTTGCAACAGTGTTTTGTTGAACTAGATGAAATGTTAATCAAGTACAAACATTGACTTCTTTTGTTGCTGAAATTTTTATAAACAGAAAAGAGAGATGAAGTGGTTTATTATGACACTTACGAAAGTATGGAAGCCATGCTTGAAAAAGAAGATATGGCAACATCTGTACACTTACAAAGAGAGGAACTTCAGAAATTACAACAGAAAGTACGCCAACTGGAAGCAAGGCGTGGGCGCATTTCTGCTAAGAAAGCCTACCTCAGGAATAAAAAGGTGAAAATTAAATGTTATGGCACTCCCTAGCCTCACTGATCACATTTTTAGTTCTCTTCAAACATACAGTATTTTACTGCATACAATATGCCACCCTGGAGTAAGATACTCATCTTGTTTTTTCAAAGGCAGAATGAGGGGAAAAAAATAACTTTACTTATAGTAAGTAACTGAGTAGCAGCAGCAAGGGAGCTTAGCCTGCTTATTAGTCTGCTCTCTGTAAATCATATGCAGACTTTACTTTAGCTTTCTCCTGGCTGAAGCAACAGAAACTGCTGTTACCGTATTTGATATTTATCCTGATTTATAGTTTGCAAAAAGGTCTATTAATAGCTGTTATTTCTCCAGTGAATCATCTGTGTTTTGTCTCTGTTTCTAGTCTTGTCTTTCAATTTATTGGTTATATCATTTATGCTGCCTTCATCCCCAGAAGACTTGGCATTAACTTGAATACAGACAAACATACGTTGTCTGTTGTAGATGTGCTTAGTTTATTAATAAACTATTTAAAAAAGATTGCTAGTGTTTAAAAATAGTTCTCTGTTGTTACTTCCTAAATTTCAGGTTTTGGGGCAGTGGTCAAATGGCTCTTATTTGTCCATAAGCAGACCTTTTGCATACTGTTCTACATCTGCATCTGTTTGACTGAAAGGGAACGTGTTGTTTTCAAAAGCAAGAAGTCCAGTGGACATTCGTGAGATGGGAGCTTGAAACCCCGCCTATGCAGTAGTCTTCCAGAAAGTTCCATTACATACTGTCATTTCAGCTTGTAGCTGGGGCTCCCTCTCAAACTATTCAGTTTTAAGGGGGTTAAGTATTCTATAACTCTGCCTTATAGTAAGCTTTCCTTTGACTCTTCTAAATACATTTCAGTTCAAAACCTTTTTGCACAAGGTGGACATTAAGCCACTATCATTCTGGCAAAAGAGAAAAGTAAAGATTAGCAGGTGACATTTCATATTGTCCTGTGAAATTTGCAGGTACAATACGTATTTAAAACATCTAAGTACAGCTTTACACATACGTGAAGGCCATCTTTACAAATACTCTCATAACATCCGGGTAATTAACCATGTTCAGACTTCTGTTGTCTGGGGGCAGTTCAACATTGAATTAGAAATATATTCTAAGCATATCTAATATAGTTAGAGGACCTGGATAGATGACAAGCTTATGGTGCAACTTAGACTGGTTTTGTTAGTTGGTAATTAACTGCTAAGTGGAAGAATTGAGGTACAAATTAGGGCTGTGCAAAGCTTTGGTTACTGATTCGATTCAGAGGAGATTCAGCAGCTGAATCTCTGAATCCAAATTGAATTGGGAGACCAATAAAAAGGTCTGAATTGATTCAGAGCTCTCTGACCTGGGCTCTGTTTTTTGTTTTGTGTTTTTTAAAGAGTTGGGACGCTGGGGCTGGGAGAGAGGGCGGCGGATGGAGCCTGTTTGATACAGAGATTCAGTCTCAGTTCAGTGGTGGCTGAATCTCCAAATTGGATTTGGCCAAATCAATTTGGGACAGTGATCCAAATCACTGAATCAAATCGCTGTCCCCCGAATCTGAAGCAAATGCTAGCGGCTTCAGACAGGCCTAATAAAAATGAGTTCAGAGGGTATAGAGATTACTTGCTGGATCCTCTTTCTCTTCTTCAGTCCTTTTTTGGCCCTCTTTTTGATTTTTGGTCAAACTCTGAGACACTCTTGCTGCTCAAAGGGCATTTCCAGTCATTAAGGCCTTGATCTAGCAAACAACTTAAGCACATTTTACTGTAAACAGGCACGTTTGGGGATCATTACCTCTGTGTAATGCTTCTTGTAGTTGAAATAAAAGTAGGCTATTTAACTGCAGTTTGCTATGTTACAATGTTTTCCTATAGTAGAAACTTAACCAAAAGTCTTATAGCCAGTGCTTCAGTTAATTGCTTTTTGGGATGAGAGTATCCTTTGGGCAGTTCCCTCTTTCTGGCACCAGAGATCCTGAAAAACAGAAGGCTGGGAATGCTTCTCTCTGACCAGCTTCTGCTGCTCCTCACTATTCTTCCCCAGACACATAGCTGATTTCCTTATCCCATTAACTGAGAACCTTATCTCATTCTGTTGAGGGGAAAAAAAGTAAAACTTGATAAAGTAGCACTCCTTTCCGTATAGTATAAAAGCTGTGGAATAATATAGAAACATAAAATTATGGGTTGTTTTTTTTTTTTTATCAAATGCACTTGACATACTGTGTTTGAACAAGATCTTTCTCTGTTATGGGGTATCATTTCTTTATTAACTTAGTCAAATAATGCTAATGTTGTGACAGACCTTATACATTTAGAAACTTATTTAAAATCAATACGGAAGAAAACAATTTGAACTTTCATTAAGAGTAAAGCTCTTACTCATTCAATGAAACTTACAGAAACAGCTAAATACTGCTGAGCGAGAGCAGTGTAGTTTAATTGAGCTAAAAATTCTAGTTACTGTTTGGCTCTACTGAGATGAATACAGACTGTATTTGTTCTTATAAAATGGAAATTCCCTTTTAAAATTGAGTTTGTTTCACCTTATCATTCAGTTATTTCCCTCTGTTATTATTGCACGTTCATGGCACTCCCGACAAGGTGGTTTTTGTTAAGTAATTTGGGGGAAAAGTAGATGTCTGTTTTTTCACTGTTAGCATCCAGCTGTGGATTCTGTGCGCAAGCATTGTAGCTATATTGTTATCCCAGTCTACCACCTGCTGGCTGCACAGTAATATTAAGTAGCTTCTGATTTGAAACAAATGGCTGTTTGTATGAGGGAACTGGATTTATAAAGAAGAACCTGGTAGGGAGAACAGCAGAGAGAGAGAGAGAGAAGGGTGTAGGTGGGGAAAACTGCTTTTAGGAGTGTGTCCTGGAATGCTGGTTAAGATCCTGAAATACTCAATCCTCTGGAAACCTATCCTTTTATGACTGAGAGGACCAGCTGGTCAATGAAACTGGCTTAGGAGATCATTACTTTCTGGTTCCTGTTACCCCATCTTGCTGCGTCTAATCTCAGTGGCTGCTTAAATTTCCATGCAATCGGTAAAAGCTTTCAGTGCAAGAAAGATGGAACAATTTAATTCCCACAGAGTCCTACTGAAATTAGTAAGATGCCTTGTGGAGTAAGAAGTAAGCGTAAGAATATTGCCACCCAGTCCAAGAGCTGTGACTTTTCTCTGACAGAAATGACTATGCCTGTTTATACAGACCTTAAAAAGAAGGGCCTCTAATCCTAATAGAGTAGATGTGCAGCTCCCCACTGTAACTGAGAATGCATTTCTGAAAGCGTTCTGTTGCAACGATCCCAAGACCAAACAAAAGTTCACCATTGGTTCCAGGGGGAAGGGGAATCTAGCTGTTGGCTGCCAGCCTGCAGCCAGTTTCCCCCAGCAAAGGTTCCTCCGCCCTGCCAAGATGCGAAGTTTTCAGAAGGGGAGGGGGAAAAGGGAGCAGAGGGAGCTCATTCTAGGGGTTCCCAGCCAGCTCTGGAGGGTGGTGTGGTTGAATTGGAGCCCCCTCACCTTGGAAGTAGGGGCTCCAATACACTGGTCCCACCCTCCAGGAGGGGCTGAAACCCCCCCAGACCATACTTCCTCTGCTCCCTTTCTCCCCTCCCATTCTGAACACAGCTCAAGGCTGGTAGGTAGCACAGGCACAAGTTACAGAAGACATTCTGTTTTGTAACTTCATCTGACCCATCATGCAATAAGGGTTCTGATTTTCACCTGATCGGCCAGTTTTTAAAGCTGTTTTCAGCTGTTCACTTGTGTTTGGTCACAGCTTTAAACTGCCTTCTGTGGCCAGATTGGGTGAAATTGTCACGTCTGTCTGTGTTGTAAATCACTTGGATGAAGCAGGTTCAAGTTGGAGCAGGTTTGCTACATTCATATCACTATAGAATCATGCAGACATTACAAGCTTTTTCAGTGCAGTGTTTCAGTATCTTCTGACAGCAATACAATTGTAGCATACGTCTGTACCAGTGATTCTCAGCCTGGGTGCTGCTGCATTTTGGTGTGCCTTGAGATCCTTTCAAGGGTGCTACGGGGTACCATACAATGTTAGTTAACACTGTTACGTTTACAAACATGATTCACAAGATAAACACAGAGATTTCAAATAGGCATCTACAGTGTTAAAAACATTCTGACCTGTTACGGTCTTTCTGAATTTTTGCAATGGAAAAATTGCTCTATTTTTCTGTAGTCAAACTAGTGAAAACTAAGAGCTAGAATTTCCCAAGGAATGTCTCAAGTGTGAAAAGGTTGAGAACCACTGATCTATACCCTGCGAGAGTAGGCGCACAATGTTTAGCTTACTTGACTCCATTGTAGAATTAGCCATGGAAAAATTGGTGAGTAAACTGCACCAGTGAAGATATGCTATGTTTGCAGTTTATACTAGAGTAGACATTTGCAGAAGGCAGATAGGCTGTTAACATGCTGTCTTCTCACATGATGTGAAGGCATAGAAATAGCAGTGTGTGAAGCTATCCTGGAATTGCTGTGCTCTGTCCAGTTCAGACCCCAGTGAAATGTAAGTTACTGTAAAAACGGATCTAAATTATTTCAGTACAAGTGTCATGTGTCCAACTCTGTAGATTGGGATCACCAACCTACAGGTGAAAATTATCAAGGAACACATCTGCAAGGGCCCAGCAGGGAAAGGTAATGCTCAGGGGCAACCAACATTGGTTCATTGAGGGCAGATCCTGCCTGACTAACCCAGTTTCCTTTTATGATCAGGTCACAAAGTCCCTGGATGAGGGCATCAAGGTGGATATCATCTTCCTGGACTTTAAGAAGGCCTTTGACACTATTTCCCGCCACATTCTCTCAAAAAAACTAGGTGACTGTGGCATTGATGCCTACACAGTCAGATGGGTGGCAAATTGGCTAGGTGGTCGCACCCAGAGGGTGGGGGTGGATGGATCGTTTTCTACCTGGAGGGATGTGGGCAGCGGAGTCCCCCAGGGCTCTTTCCTGGGGCCTGTACCGTTCAACATCTTTATCAGCTATCTGGATGTGGGTGTGGAAAGTATGCTGTCCAGATTTGCTGATGATACCAAGATGTGGGGTGAGGTGGGCACGCTGGAGGGGAGGGACAGAATCCAGCTAGATCTAGACAGGGTACAGAGGTGGGCAGCTGGGAATAGGATGGAATTCAATGCAGACAAGTGCAGGGTACTGCATCTAGGGAGAAGGAACCAGCAACACACCTATAGGCTGGGGATCACCCTTCTTGTCAACACGGTGGCAGAAAGGAATCTTGGAGTCATTGTTGCCTCCAAGATGAACATGAGCCACGAGTTCATGTTCATGAGGAAGTGGTCAGTAAGGCTAATGTGATCCTTCCCCTCCATATGGCATTGGTCAAGACACAGTTGGAGTACTGCATCCAGTTCTGGGTGCCGCACTCCAAGAGGGATGTGGCAGGGTATTTTTATGCCCTACTTAATATTTGCAGCTATTCAGTGAATTTTTATGAGCAGATATGCTGCCATAATATGAAATGCTCCGATAATTGAGAAACTTGTATGTATTTCATGAGCTTAAGCATCTGACTATTGTCTGAAGAATTAACTTCTAGTCCTATCAAGTCTTGGTTCAGGAAAATTTTGCTTTGAGAGAGGCTAGCATTGAGAGGGTCCAGAGGAGGGCCACTTGCATGGTCAAGAGGCAGCAGGTCAGGCCCTATGAAGAGAGGCTAAAAGGCCTGAATCTATTCAGCCTCCACAAGAGAAGGGTGAGAGGGGATCTGGTGGCCATTTACAAACTCACCAGGGGGGACCAGTGGAAATGGGGTGAGGCTCTGTTCTCCTGGGCACCACCCGGGGTTACTAGGAATAATGGCCACAAATTATAAGAGAGAAGGTTCAGGGCATCAGGAGGCATTACTTTACGGTTAGGTCTGCCAGGCTCTGCAATGGATTCCCAAGGGAAGTGGGAGGTTTTTTTTCTCCTTCCTTGTGGGTCTTCAAGAGGAGGCTGGATAGATATTTGGCTGGGGTGTTGTGACCCCAGATGTGGCCTGCAAAGAGTTTGGATTCAATCTGCAAAGGTGTGATCTAGCCTGCATTTTACTAAGGGTGCAGTATTCCCCAGCTGTTTGATCTGGTCCGTGTTTTGCTAAGGGCATGCTGATTGTCTCTCAGTGCTTCAGCTGGCTGTATTAGCCAATGTGAAGTGCTGCTGTCCCTCACTGCAGTCACCATTGCTGAAGTGACCATAGTGGAAGGGTTGCCTCTGCAACACTGACCTGGGCTGATCTTACTTTAGCTCAGGGGTGGGCAATTATTTGGGCTGGAGAGCCACTTAGAGTTTTAGTGAGCTGTTTCAGGGGAGAGAGGTGCAGTTGGCTGTATCTAGCCTGGGACTCATCCCTTAGCCACTGCTGGGTATACCAGACGGGGCAGGTGGGGTCTCCATGGAGCCTGGCTATATATCCCTGCAGACAGGGTACATTCGACTGGGTGGATAGGATGGGCTTAGGGGCAGGTGGGGAACTGTGTTCAGGAATGGGACAGGTGAGCAGGGCTGGGGGAGGGATTGTGGGGCAGTGATAACCTGGGGCTTGGGGCAGAGCTGTCATCCACAACCCACATGTCCCTGCCTGCAGAACTGGCACCCACTGCTGGGGAGCAGATTGTTGCTCTGCCTCAGCCCCATGCTGTCAGTACCCTGCAATCCCAGACCTACCTGCCCACTGCTCTCCCAGATGTCTAGGTATAGCCAATAGAATTGTGAGGACAAACGATTGGCTATTTCCAACACTGAACTGAAAAACAGGACTTTTTGCAGTCTGTTCCTCATTCAGAAATGGACAGGGACAGAGGGCTTAAAAATAGGATGGTCCAGTATAAAACAGGACCAATGGCCACCCTAGGCTGGATAGAATCCCTTAGTGGACTGAATCCAGCCCACAGGCCATATTTTCCCACCCCTACCTTAGCTTCTATGGTGTAGTTTTTTCTCGCAGGTATTGAGCATTCAGCTCTCATGAAGAATAGTGCTGCTTATTTAGGATAAACGCAGGTCTATGAAATATATGAAAACATATAAAGTAGGGGTGCACTGATAGAGATTTTTGGGGAGCTGCATGCGGCTGGTAAGTCTGGTGCATCTGGGGGGCAGATCAAGGCCTCCACGGTGAGAGAGGAGTGGGGCTGGGGCTGGGGCTGGGGCTGGGGCTGAGGCAAGCACTGCCCAGCTGGGGCAGGACAGCGGGGCAGGGGACAAAGCCATGGCTCATCCAGAGGAATATTTTAAATTTCAGCATTGTTATTTTAATTAACATATAATCATCATGTCTTACAACAAAAAGGAAAGGAAAATATACTAAAAATAGGAATTGAACATTTAGTCAACTTTGAGGATGTACCACAATTCAAGATCTTTGTTTCCTATCGTTAAATAAATTTGTAACTTAAACAGTTCTCAGATTTCAGGTCTTGTTTGAACAGTTCCAAATCAGCACATGCATACTTTCACTAATACAGTTATTTACAGTAAGAGAACTAAAATGTATTAGAATTGTTTAGTTCTTGATTGCTAGAAAGTCAAGGCTGTTTGGGTTTTGTGCCATTACCCCAGTTTTGACTCACTACAAGTGCTTATTTTTGCTCTTAATTTTTTTAAAGTAAAACTGACTCAGAAAAATGTACTAAAAGAAGAACTAGAGATCCGCAGTCTTTTTTTTTTTTTCTTTTTTTTTCTCTTTCCGCTCTTCTCCTCAACTTGTCACAATCATGTCCGTCTTGCAATGTGTTCCCTAAAGGTTAGTAGCCAGAGAGATGATGAAGCAAAGATAAGACAGCAGGAACATTAACGCAGTGTGTCTCATCTGAAACTTGTCATCTCTTCGTAAACTTACTACTACAGTCTGTAAAGTTTAGTTTACAGAAAGCTTATTCTTCTGAAACTTTTGATATACCTGTTCTTTGGATAAAGAGAGGACTTCAGTTTCCAGTTGTGTTAATCAAGAAGTTCTTATGACTACTGAAGTATTTAAAAGATTAACAATGTTAGAGTTTACTATAATATAGCATTTGGTGCTGGTAAAGTTGAGACGGGCGTTTCATTGTATACCTAAACGACTTTTGAGCTTTGTGTATGAATCTGTACAGTGATCTGCACCTGAATTTCTTTTTCTTTTTTTTTTTTTTTAACTTTTCAGACAGTAGCTCCTGTTGGCCACATGCCTACATCTGTGGCCACCATGACTGCCTTGGTTGTGTTTGAGGATGTAAGGGGACATTTTCATATTTCCTTTACAGTTGAAGAAAGTTACCATTGTGTTCGTAATTTTTTTTGGCCTTGTTTTGATTTTTTTTTATTATTATTTATTTTCTTTGACTTGCTTGAGCCTTTCTAACACCAATATGGGTTTGTTGTTTGATAGCCGAAGCCAAAGCCACCACTTTCAGTTATGCCCCTAGTTTCATTATGCAGTGACTGAACACATGCAAAGCTTTTCTGCCATAGACTGGCATGTTTAAAAGCAGTGCTCCATGTGGCAGGTTCTTACTATAGTACGTGTGAAGTTTGGTAAGTTTAAAGCTGTGTGCTTTGGTATTACTGTCTGTTGTAAAACAGCCCTTGGTGCACTTCGGGTATTATTTCTGTTCTTAGACTTCGGCTGTTTCATAGACATTATAAAATCTTCCTCAATTTCTCTATCTGAGAGAAGGTGCTGAGCTTCAGGGTGATGGAACCTTTTTTTTCCCTTCACTTTGGCGTCCTGGTAACCATTGGGGAATACAGTGGACATGTTCTACCTGCAGAGAGATATCTGTACTTTGTATCCATGTTTCTCTGTGCTGTCTGGATTACACATGCAAAATGGGAATTAGCACTTTAAAGTGTCCTATTATTCAGTTGCATGCACAGAATGTCCAGTTTCCTTGAATGATAGAAGCAGTTAATTTACATAAATTTTGCACTTCCAGTTATGTGAAGTCAGAGCTACCTCTGATTATGTTGTTGTTTGGACTTGGCTAGCAGCTTTGTTATGTGTGTCCTTTTGGTTCTAAAAGATAGCATTTAAAACAATGTATGTTATTAGCCATAAGTAGACTAGCTTGTTGAAACAGTTCTCTCTCAAGCTTCATTTAACAATGTTACTTTTAATGCTTGGTGCCATTTACAAAGTATTGCACTTGGGCTTTTATAATATGATATTTGGAATGTATATTTTATAGAGAATGCTTTTGGTTTCTCCAGGAGATCTGCATTGCAAAACATAATGAAAAGATCCAACAGCGCCATCAGAGTGAAGAAGAGTACAGAATACACCATACTGTGCAGCTGGTAAGTTTGGGCTCTGTTATTAAAATCAGTCTTTAGCTAATTGTTCATATCCTCATCATGTGTAAATAACAGTGCTTTTGGATTAGTGTGTCAAACAGCTGGTACATAACCTGGTAAATCTGGATAAAGATGAGCAAGTTTGAGGTTCAGGATTAGTTGTTTTTGTTTGGACAGTAAAATTGCCAAAGAAACCGTATAAATTAAACTCCCACACAAAATGGGATTAGTTATTCATTGTTTTCTTTTGCTATAAGTCCTTGGATTTGTGTTTTATACTGATTTTTTTGTTTGTTTGTTTGTTTGTTTTAAAGAAATAATCTGAAACATGTTAATACTAAATTGCTCTTTTAGTTAGTGGGGGGGAAAAATGTATTTGGTGTAAATTATTCAAGGCTGGAAAATTGTTACAGTCTATAAATATGAAGTACTATAACTGCCAATAGTTGTTTAAGAGATTTGTCTTCCAAATACCAATGAAGTAATACAAATACAAACGCATGGGAAGGATTTTTTTAACTTATTTAAACAACGAGGGTAGGAACAGATATTACACACAAACCGGTTTAAGTGATCAGAAACTGGTTTAAATCTGTAACAGAACAGATGTTCAGTGCACGTAAACCAGTTTGAAAATGGCTGAAACCAGTTTTAGATCAACCTGGTTGAATGTAGTATCAGACTTAACTGATTTGGGTCAAACTAGTTTATACAATGTCTGTCCCAGAGCCCTTGCTAGTTTAAATTAAATCAGACTTCCCCATCATCTTGGCATGCTATCTGGGCTGGGCAGGGTTCTCTGCTCCACAATAGAGCTGGCCCCTCCCCTCTGCTCCCTGGCTAGAGTTGGCAGAGACTGCAGGCATCTGCTTGGCTTCTGCCCCTCCCCCCTCTCTAAGCAGGCATTCCCTGTCCCCTCTCCCTTACACAGACGCACAGCATTAGCTAGAAGGCCACATGCTGGCTACGGTCTGTGCTGTGGCAGATGGGACAAAGGCAGAATCAACAGGTAACTGGTAATGTCCCTCTGTTGTTTTCTTAATGGAGTGATGAACACTATGTTATCAATTCCCTGCTAGGCTGGTTAGGAGAAGGATAAACCCCTCCCAAATCAGAGGGGCATGGCTAGGCCCCGCCAGGATGCGTCCTGGCATAGCCTAGCCATGCCCCTCCTCAACTCAGCACTATGGAAGGGTAGGGAAGGGCTGCTCTAGTGCCCATCCTCCCTCCTGCCCCCCCCAGCTTCAACTGGAGCCACTGCAGGCATGTGCCTGCATTTTTTTCAGTCCAGAGGGGAGATGTCTTTACAGTTACAAACTGATTTCATAGAATCATAGAAGTAGTGTGCGAAGGGACCTTGTAGATCTTCAAATCCGACTCCCTGTCTGAGCAGGAGAAAAACTGGGCTCAAATGACTCCAGCCAGGTAGGCATCAAGTCTCTTCTTAAAGACCCCCAGGGTAGAAGCCAGCACCACTTCCCTTGGAAGTTGGTTCCAGATCCTAGCCGCCCTAACTGTGAAGTAGTTCTTATGGATGTCTAATCTAAACCTACTCTCCAACAACTTGTGGCCATTATTCCTTGTTATGCCAGGGGGCGTAGAGGAAACAAGGTCTCTCCCAAACCCTTCTGGTCTCCCCTAGTGAGTTTATAGACAGTCACCAGGTCCCCCCTCAGCCTTCTCTTGTGAAGGCTGAACAGGTTCAGGTCC